GACAGACTTTTCTACCTTAACACCAAGCTAGATCAACAGTACCACGATATCTTATCCATCCCCCCTCCTCAGTAGTTTTATTCTTTTTACTGAACACTACATTATATATTTGTGTGATGTCATTAGCCAACACTGAGGGTCACTGTGTGAAAATATCCTAATACAAGTATTAGTGGATCTCCTTTAAGGATGTTATCAATATCAATAGCACCGTTTGCCACAAATCATGCATTATTTTACTTGTTACCAGTAATGGTATTTTCCTTGAGCAGATAGTTTGTTTTTATTGTATGAATACTGTGAATAATATAATTGACAAGGGTTTCCTTTTCCTTCTGGCAACTAGAAAGCCTAGAGCCAAATTGACAGTCCAACCTTATAAAAAGTGAATTGTGGTATATTTGGTTGCAGCATCATTTCTGGTTCCACTCTTTTCTTCTCTTTATCTTGCCAGTTTCAATTCCCCTATCCAGTCACATAATGTGCCTCTCCAAGTTACTTCTAGACAGTACATGAATAAATGAATTATAAGAATTTAAAAACACATAGGTAGTGGAAACGGCAGATACTCCAAATGGCAGTTTGTTATTTTCTCTTCTTCCTGATAAAGACCCTATTTATTAAATCTGAGTAAATTTCAGAGGAGTAAATTCAGAGAAAGCAGATTCCATGTAAAACAATAATGCTAACAACTGGGTTACAAGAAGCAAATACCAAGTAGATGGGGCCTGATGACCAGAGAACTGGCTGGCTTCAATATGTAAGCTGACTCAGAGTTCCACTTACATGTCTACAAGTTCTGGGTTTGGGATCAAGGAGGTTGGGTTTAGGGTACAGGAGCAGACTATCACCTTGGGTATCTATTTTTGGAGAATCTGCGGTCTTACTGCAACAGCCAAACCATTTTGTGGAAAAAGACTAAGAGAGAGGAGAGGGAATAAAAGAGATTATTTTCATATCTTTACGCTCCTTCCTCCAAGATAGTTTAAAGTTAGCTGGGAAGTACCTAAGAAATATTCCTATTTTTAAGGACATCCAAGATTGAGTAATTAATTTCAGCCACAATCTATTCTGAAAGTCTAGACTTTCCTATGGTCTTACAGGAAAGATTAGAACTTTCCTATAATCTTTTATAATCCTACCTGTAATCTTGCAATTTAAGTCTTTTTCTTCTTGCTCAGTTCTCAGCGCTGAGGAACAGTAAGTAACAAGAAAACAAAGTATAAAACGCTTCATATAATCCTCCTTGTTCACACTTTTGGGAAGATAACACGCAGTATTGCCTAACCCATAGTCCACTTACTGAGTAGGCAGGTGTGAGAATGAAGCAGCACTCGGTAGCAATATTCAAACTTCACAGAAATCCTTGAATTATATTTACAAACCTAAACTGTGAATGAGTCACTGTGCTTACAAAATTACATACAAACCCTTCTGTAGTCAAAGCCCACTTTTACTCCAAGAGCACACTATGCCATTTCAAATGGCACTACCTTTTTAACATAAAAACTATGAATAGAAAAAAATGCTAATTTTATTTATTTTTTCTTTGAATTCCCTCTTGTCTTTTAAGATGCTTACATAGCACCTTAAGTTCTATTTATTTGTCTCCTACCAAACTTTTCCTCTTTCACCCTTGATCCCACAAATCATATACCTTGCAGGATAATCAGCAGGCCCTAGTCTTCCTTTTTGCCTAGTAGCCACTCTTCCTCTTACAAGTCAGTGTGCCACCTAAATCCTGCCTGGAAGCAGGTTTTCAGTATTCAAAACAATTTTTAAATGATATCATACTTACTCCTGACCTCTCATTGTAGAATAGTCAGAATGTGCCTTCATAGGTAACTTCTACCTACTGGCCCTAGTGTTTCTTTCAGTATCTCTATGGAATTATGCATAATCCTTCTTTAACGAATCAGCCTAAAAAATATTTGAAGCTGCAAACAGTATCAACATTAGGATTGGAATATCTAGAAACTCAGAATGTGTTGCTTCTGTGACTTTACTACGAAATCCAATATTACAGGCTTTTAGCTTACCAAGGTCTCTCTAACATACCCAATCTCTGTTTTTACCCTAATTCTGGCATTATTTAGGCACTAAGAAATGACAAGCATGAAACATAGTAGTAGGGCATCATCATCATTTTTCCTCTTCTGGAACACAAGGAAAATACTTAACGAGCACACTGGTATAAACTAGAATGGATCTGGGGTTTGTTATGACTCTTGGTGAAAAAAAATTGTTAAATCTGCTTTATGTAATCATGATAAAGAAAGTGTTGGAATATATTAAATAACAAATTTGTATCAGTGATTGTTAGCAAAATTTTAATGATACTTGAGCTGGCTTAGGTTTTAGAGAGAAACATACAAATGGCAGTCAAACATAATTCTAAATTTGTGCTAGATTTCTATATGGTTTAAAAATTATTGAGAATCACATAATTCATTAATTCTTAGTTCCCTGTTTTGGATGAGCATGAGTACACATGAAGAAATAGCTGCTCAGAGGCTCTTCCTTTCTTCCTCCTCCTCTTGTCTTCCTTTTCTTTTACTATTTCATTCTGACCATATTCATTGACCTCCACCTGATCATTCTTCTGCTTCATGAGCTGCCTCAGTGCCTAAAAACATGCTAAACCACTCATCCTACCACTCCAGTGCCTGAAAAGCAAATCAGAATGGGATAGTCTGCACAAAGTGGGAAGGATAACACTTGCGTCTAATGGGCAAGAACTTTGGTATCCTCTCCTGGTACAAAACGGTGGTGGTGGATCTTTAAATGTGGAACGGTCTATGTTAGGTCTGCAGCCTTACTCCCCTTTCTAAACCTCTAGTATTTCAGTGTTCCCTAGCAACAGAAGCAAAGGATCAATTTAGAAAAGTGCTTTCCAGAGCACTCCTATCTAGCTACTGACCAAGCTGTTTTAGTTTATGTGATCAAGTAATTGAAATTCAGAGAGATTTATCACTGACTGTCCTCACAGCAAAACTGGAAGAGCACTTTGTATGTATGCTACTAATGTCTGAGATGACTGATTCTACCTCTACTGCACAAGCACGGATTGGTTTCAGTAAGAATTAGCAGTCTCCACATCTCACTGTGAACCGACAGTGTTGCTAGGGAAACTGATAATTATGTGGCAAAATGGAGGGTGTAGAATAGAAAAAGAGTTCAGAAAAAATGTAAGGTTTTGATCCAAATCAGCATGTTAATAGTATAGTGTGTTGATCTTCTGTAGTCATACAATTTAATAAATACCATTAATTATATGTTTGACAAGATACAGATTTCTAAACTGAAAGAAATGAAAAGAAATGAAAAGCTACTGGATACTGCTCATACTTTGTGTATGCCACAGCAGGAATGTGTATTTATTACATATAAACTATAATTTTTTTAAAATTAAAATATTCAAAAAAGTAAAAAATTTGGTTTGAGTCCTAATGTTTTTCTTTAGATATCAATCTTATAGTGTTCCAGATATAAAAAGTTTAATTCCATAAGAGCTTGAGTAAATAACATTTTTGGCTTCAAAGGCTAAATCATATAGTCTCAAAACAGCCCATAAAGTGGGGAAGAAAGACGTATGACTTTTAATATATACAGTAATATCAACCCAGATAAGCTGAATACTCTTCCTGAAGTCACACAGCTCCTCACTTAGTGGTAATGCTAATGCTAAATCCTCCTCTTTCAGCTGCCTAAGAGGTACTGTTTATAAATTACATCCTATTTAGGGAAAACCCATTAGAAGGATATAAACCTAGTGAATAGATTCAAATCTCTAGATATCATTTTAATTTTAAATGAAGACTTCCAATACTTTCCATTTTTAATGGGTAAGAGTTTAGTTCTAAAAGTTCATGATAGGATATAAACACTTGCTTACCAGGAAAACCTCACTGGAGACATTTTAATATGTGAGAAGATCATGAAAAAAACTAAAAAGCCCTCTATAAGAGGGATTTATTGCACAATGTTTTCTAATTTGCAAATATACCATAGATATTAAAACAGTCATTCATGTTCATACATGTACAATCTAAGTATGGTGTGTGTGTGAGAACATAAGTAATTTATTTACGGTTGGTGTATGAATGAAGACAGTCATTTATAATATAAAATGTTTCCAGTTTTAGTCTTATTTGGTCTTTCACAGGAAAGACCTAAGAAGGATACATAGTACACCATGTAAAAGCACAAAACTGTAAGGATTTATTTTAACTAAATGAATTTCAAGTGCTGAAAGCAGCAGTCTGCCTTCTGATATTATGAAAAAGATCTATATTCTAGTGACTTAAAAATTCTAAACCTTGGCTGGGAGCAGTGGCTTATTACTGTAATTCTAACACTTTGGGAAGCCAAGGCAGGCGGATCACCTGCAGTCAGGAGTTCGAGACCAGCCTGGTCAACAAGGCAAAAGCTCCCTTCTACTAAAAATACAAAAATTAGCCAGGTGTGTTTGCACATGCCTGTAGTCACAGCTACTCGGAAGGCTGAGGCATGAAAATCTCTTGAACCTGGGAGGCGAAGGTTGCGGTGAAGCTGAGATTGCACCACTGCACTCCAGTCTGGGTGACAGAGTGAGACTCTGTCTCAAAAATAAATAAATAAATAAATAAATAAATAAAACCTAATTCATTAATACGTAAGTAGTATAGTTCATCCTACATAGAATAAAACTATAATTTTTAAGGCAGTTTATTAAATCTGTCAATTTTATGATAATTTAAAAATAGTATTTGGCTTGTCTTTAGTTTGGATTTGTTAATTCTACATATTAAAGCATTTATTTTTGATAAGACAAGAGCTGAAATGATTGACTCCTATTTTGATAAGCCTTTTCTTCAGTCCCATAAGTTGGAAGGTATTTCCAACTTTTAAATTCCAAAAGCTGGAAGGTATTTCCAACTTTTAAATCTCTGGGTCAGAAAAAGAAAAATAAAAACTTACACGGTCATCAAAAATGATATTTGTGGTTGAGTTAAACGAACCTTGACTTAGGCCATCTTGACAAGATGTTTGCTTGACATCCAAGTTCTCCATGGTATCCCCTTTAGAGACTTCACCAAGAGATGTTCTTCTCTCAAAGATGTTGTTATTATTGTTAACTTGAGTCCCATTCTGCTTCAGTAGCCTGAATACCTCAGCTTCCAAATCTCTAATCTAGGAAAAACAAATCCGTTCATAAAACTCTAAACCAGCACTCCTCTCCAAGTACAGCAAAACCCTTATTAATTAGTGTCTTCGAGAACACAACTCACCCGTACTTGTAGGCCTTGCACTTCCACAAGGTGTGCTTTTTCCAAATCTTCTATTTTCTTTCTTTCTGCTTCTTGTCTTTTGATGAAATCAAGCTCTCTTAAGAAGAAAATAATAGTTCTGATTATATCAAGCACTCAGTAAATGAAAGGTCTTATCTGAAACAATAACTGCATAGTAGGATAAGCAACTGAACAGTTATTTAAATGGACAAAATTCAATTGGTTAGAGGGAAAGTATAGTAATGAAAGAAACTAAAACATCTTTAATGGGTCACAAGGCAAAGAAAAATCATTTGATTCTGCTTATTATCATTTTCTTTTGTAGCTCTTGATTCTAGAGCACCCAAACATATTTAGATATGAACGACTGCACTAATGACCCAAGTTGGGTAATTTGGTAGAGATAATTACTTGTCAGGTAGAAATAATTCAATATTTCCAATGTCATAAGTATATAAAACAGTTGTAACTAGATGGTAAAAATTCAAACAAAATAATTATAAGATTTCTATGAGTAACAGTGAAGAGGGGACTGGGTGGGTCAGAAACATCAAGAGGGGCACTCGCTTTTAAACTTAAGGATAATAAGAGAAGAAGAGAAATAACTCTATTTTGAAAATATAAAGCAAATTTAGCAAAATTTACTATAAAATTATTTTATGAAAAAGAGTTTGGCAAAAAATCAAAACAGTGATGTACTGAATTTATAGTCACAGAGGATACTCCCCTTTTAACAAGAAACTTTTGATAGTAATCCTTTTAAATATTAAAAACATTCTTTCCATAATAGGAAATAACAGAAATATGAATCTTATATATATGCTTAGTTTCTGAGGCTTGGCTTTGTAGACTAGAAAAGTTACTGGCACTACTTATTTGTTCTAATGAGCCAGAAATAACTGATGAAAAAATCTAGTATAACCCTCCCTGGTCAGTCTCTATGACATTACACTGAGATTCAAGAGATGGAAACAAAGGAGCAGTAACTCAGAAACAGCTGTTGAAAACCAAAAGCAGAATGTGGTAATCGTCTCTCTTACTGCAGTGAACTGACGCCCTCTTGATTCTCTCAACAGCTGAGAAATGCAGAGTGGCAGGGCAGGGGGCCCTGCTAGTCGATATTTACACTATCTGTAGTGGGAAATTCTGTAGTTACTGATCTAAGAATAGAGAGGAGCAGCCTGATCCAGGCCCCAACTGCGGCTTGCATGCTCCACATCCAATAGTCAGTCATTCTGCATAACTTTCAGCTGGGCTTCTTGTTGCTAAATCACAGAGGTGTTTCAAAAAGAATAAAGAAATTCAGATGTTTTAACAGTTACTATTAACAATTAATTATCAAAAATAGCCAAGAGGCCCTGGTAGCCAAAAACTGTAAAACATACAAAATATAATCTCATGAAAAAGTGACAGACATACTTCCAAAACTTAACGTGTATTTACGCTGTAACTATGCTCGTGGATAGGAAGGATATCTCTGAGGTCATCTTTTCTATTCCACTAGATAATTACAAAATTATGGGACATAAACCTTCTTTAGACAAACATAACTATTCTTTAATCATTAGAAGCTGCTTACTTCTGTTGAAAATCCTTGATCAATTTTTTTGCTTTGTTGTATTTCTTTTCCAAGGCCTGATACTGGCTTTGAGTCTCTTTGAGATGTTCATTCACTGTGTGGCATAACGTTTGGGCCTCAATCCAGTAGCTTTCCAACTTCAACATTCTTTCCTTATTCTCTTCAATGTTCTGTTGGAGTTGGGTTTTTTCTAGTTCCCACCTCACTTTCTCATTTTCTGCCGCCTGCAGCTGGAGAAACAAATGTCATGGCAAAGATAATTTAGCCACTTCTGTAGCAAAAATCTCTCATTTTTATAGCATGTTGTAGGTCAAGTTCCATTATCATAAACAATCACTGAAACCACTTCAGTTGAGAAAAGCAAGTATTATTTTTATAATTCCATAGATGATAAAATGGAAGCCTTGAAAAGTGAAATGATTTGTCCAAGGTCACACGTTTGATAAATGATAAAACATGGATTAGATTCCACCTCACGTGATATTTCCATCACACTATGTGGTCTGAAATTCTGTAAGCGGTAAAAGATGTATCAGGGTTTGATATATCCAATTACTGTCAACGTGTTTTGAGTTTTTAAAAATATATAATTATATATAAAAGATTTAACTAAAAATGGAGTGAAGAGGGGCAGGAAGGAGAGAGGAGTTAGAAGCATAGTATGACCTAATGGCTAGGTTTCTGGAGTCATTTAGCATAGATTGAATCCCAGTTCTGCCATTAGTGGCCATTAAACCTTGGACAAGTAATTGAAGTCCTTCAAGACTCAATTATATCATCTATACAACAGAATTGTAATATAACACATGAGTATACTTGAAATAGCTCCTTAGATATAAGAATCATCTGATAAACATAAACCACTTTCACTCTGCTTTTAATCCTTTTGATGATCTTATTTCATTCTTTATTTCAATGGACACGAACATAATCTGTAGCTCATTACTGTACATGTAGTGTAATAAATTTCTCAAGCTTTATAAACCTCAACTCCCATAAAAGTATAAAAGATAGTGTAAGTAAAAGTATAAATTGTGGCTTGGTTAATTTAATTCCTTCCCATGGAACAGAAAGGTGTAATCAGCTTTTTGTGGTTTCTGCTTCCAGGGACTCTTCAGAATAGACAGTAAACTAGTTTAACACCCTAATTTCTACAGAAATCCAAGACTGATCATTTAGGTGAGGGCTCAAAAGTCATTCCCAATAACTATCTGGCCTTCAAATAGTACTTTATCTACTTTATATGCCTTCTTTAATGTTCAAAAGGATGCAAAGTCATTATAAACTATCAATGTTCAAAATCATACAGCATTTAGCAAAAGTAAACATGTACTTTTATACACACACATCTATGTTTTTGCAAATATTTTTAACTAAACACATTTGTAAAACAGTTTATAAAGTTAGAAAGAAGCCAAAACAATTTAAAAATTAGGAATTCTATTATCAAAATGAATAATAATCATAATAAAGTGTGCTAATCTGTGGATATTACATGCCAATGTAATGACGAAAAAATATAAAATGCTAATTTATAGTATTTTCTAAGTTAAATGTCCATAGTCTAATACATAAGTGCCAATAAAACATTTACAATTTAAATGTTTTACCAACAATTTTAAAAAAATCTTCAATTCTTTCTATGTCAAGAGACAATAACAATTTAAAACAGGACTAGGTTACTTACTGCTTCTTTTGTTAAACAATGTTTTGTATCAAGTTGTTTATTTAGCAACCACCACTAATTTAAAATTATTATTCATGGAGCTGGGCTGACACCATGAATGATGTATAGATGTATTTTGACTAAAGAGTTGCAGAGTGAATTAGCTGAGAATAGCATTTAACCAAAATAGCCTTGCTAATTCATCTCCATTTAAAACACATGGAGAAACCAAAACAAGTGTTAGATGTGAACAATAAAACAGATCATTAGTGGTGGGGGAGTAATTACGTCTTAATTTTTAAAAGACCATAGAAACATAAAGAATAATGCTTTATAAGTAATTTAAAAATATTTTTAAATCTTTGAAATTGGATATTTGATAAAACTAAATAAAATTGCTAGAATTGTGTCTCATATAAGTGCGTTAAAATTTGTCAATTACTGCCGGGCACAGTGGCTCAAGCCTGTAATCCCAGCACTTTGGGAGGCCGAGGCCGGTGGATCATGAGGTCAAGAGATCGAGACCATCCTGGTCAACATGGTGAAACCCCGTCTCCAATAAAAATACAAAACATTAGCTGGGCATGGTGGCGCGTGCCTGTAATCCCAGCTACTCGGGAGGTTGAGGCAGGAGAACTGCCTGAACCCAGGAGGTGGAGGTTGTGGTGAGCCGAGATCACGCCATTGCACTCCAGCCTGGGTAACGAGTGAAACTCCGTCTCAAAAAAAAAAAAAAAAAATTTGTCAATTAATATATATAGACTAATAATACATACTCCCTTTTATCAAGACCTTTTCTTCCCCACAAACTTAATTTATGTGAACCAAACAACTAAAAATTTCCAGTAGTACCTGGCACTTAAAATAATTATGCATGTATTAAGTTTATAATATTTAATTATGAGAAATTAGGAATTGTTTATATATAAAAAATCGATGTGCTAAATTTGTTCCTAAAAACAAATAAATGATTAAATCTATTTATAATAAGGTAAGTAAAGTGGACATACAGTAGCTTTGCTTAAGGAATTAGTAATCAAAACATGCTTGAACCATTAAAAATATTACTTTTTAAGGAAATCTCAGAGGCCACATATGTGCAAATACATAAAAATGTATATTTAAAATATTGTGTTATTTGCACTGAGGGGGGCATGGGTGTTTGCTCTCACTGGCAGGTTTGTCTATGTACCTAACAGTGAAAATGAATCTCTCACATTTGTATTCTTTCAAATGTACAGGGACAAATCCTTTAGTCCTGGGTTGAATTTATTCACAGTATCTGAAGTTCAAAAAGTAAAATTCAAACACCATGTTTTGGTGCTTACCTTGGTCTTCAATTTTTGAATCTCTGCTTCTGTAACTGCATGTTTGATTTGCAACTGAAAATTGAAAAGAAAGAAAAAATCTGAACTAAGAAAGTGTACCTATATTTTTAAAGTCTCAGCAGCTACAAGAATGCCTTATTACATAGTAAAAGGCCTAGAAAAGTGCTGCAGTGCAGCAAGTTGTAAATTAAAGTGTCTACTGTGTGAAATGACACTGGGTGCAAACTAATTAAACAGAGTTATGGTCTATACTCCCTAACATCAGATTAGGTTACCAATTTAATGGCTCAGGGACCAAGAGAAGAAAACACTTTTTATTGCCCTCTTTGCAGCTCTTCCTTTATGATTTTAATGTCAAGGAACTGTTTCCTTGCTAAGTCTAGCTCACTGAACGGCGTAAGCAGGCAAGTGAGCTGGTACTGTGATTCAATTCCAAACCTGGCAGTGTGAAGATTTATTCCAAATCTGGAAGAAAGGTGGCGCTATGGTCCTGTGAGCTGCAAACATTCTGATAGCAGCTCGGCTGCAATGGGAGAGGAGGAGGACTGCAGTTGCCTGAGGAAATCTCTGATTTTTTTTAATTGCAGGAAAGGTACAGATCCAGATTATCTTGTCCTCCAAAAGACCTGCTCATTTTGAAGACTCAGGTCCCAACAGAACAGCTTCTTCTACAGCTTATTAGTATAAGAGTCACAGTTTACATTTGTTTTGCTTGTCCCTTCCCCCCACTTTGTTTTCTTTGTAAGGGAAGAAGAACGAACTGAACGAATCATTCGTTTCCTTAGGGGATCAATAAATACTCCCAGATTTAAGAAAAACAATTTATAGGTTCACGATTTCTTGTCTGAAATCTTTGGGGCCAGATGCTTTTGGAAGTCAGCATTCTTCCAAATTTTAGAAAGGTAGTTAATACGTATCTTCTACAAATTGCTTATTATCTACAGCAGGGTCTTTGGTGGCATTCTACAGTCAAACACATGAATTATTTTTGCCACCAAACATGAATATTCCCACTAAGTGAGGCACATAAAGACCGTAAATAGCATCCTGTCAGGTCAGGTTGTACCACTAAATTAGTTTGACACAAAATTACAAAAAAGACTGGAGCATTTTGGATTTAAGACTGTACATGAGGGACCATAAACTTTTACTATTACTGTAATCAAGTAAGGCTAAGAGGTTTTCTTATCAGAAGTGAGTCTGACAGAAGGACAGAAATGCGTTTTTAGGCTAGCAATGTGAACCTGTGGAGACCATGCACGGCATAAATCTCAGCCCTCTCTTGGGTTTGTAACCGGTATTCCCTTGGTTTTTACCAAGTTCGTGGGGACACATGGGAAGGATGATAAGGGGATGATGGAAGAATCAAAGACAGGCCTATTCGACCCGCTTGATGCCAGTGGCTAACTGCCCAGAACCTGAGGGTTCCTAAGTTCCTTATAAAGTGCTCACTCCTATTATGCAAAGGGCCATGAGGTCTGCAGGCCACAGCTCTTGTTACTGCTTTTGGTACTGAGGGATGACGAAACTTTTCAATTTGATTCTGCCCCATTCACACTGCTTACGTTCTTCCTGACCTGGCCACTCTGGCCATCTTGCTGGTGTGGCTATTGCTCCTTGCACCCTCACTGGCTCCTAGGGGGTTCTGTGCTTGAACGGTTTCTAGAGTAGGACCCTATGTGGAAAGGTTATTTTTATGAGGCCCCAAATCTGGCTCTTTTAGTTTCTTATCACAGCACAAGTGGTACAATTCTTACTTACCTGCCTTTAGCAGATGCTCAGAGCATTAGTGCAGCTGGCAAGGAATCTAACCACAAGTTTTCTCAATGACTAGATTGGAGGAAGATACAAAGATACACAGTGTTGTTCCGAAATCCCTGTAATTCCCTACTCCCTCACTGATGAGGTCTATGCTCATCCTAAGCCCTAGTCTGGATGGATCTTTTGGAAACCTGACAACACCAGGCTAGCCAGTCAGATAGGTTTGAATGCCCCGTGGATACTCCAACTATAGGCTCTTCTGGACTCATTTTAGACATGGGAAGACCAAGGATCAGAGAAGACAACCAACCTGGTCTAGTCCTCACAGTGAATCACTATTAAAACCAGGACTAAAACCTGGATCTTCTCATTCTGATCCAGTGTCATTTTCCTTAGAAAATGGGGATCAATTCAACAGGCATTCATTGAAGAGTTGCTGTGTGGAGGATGCTGTGAAAATAACTTTTTCGACCGGGCAAGGTGACTCACCCTATAATCCCAGCACTTTGGGAGGCCAAGGCGGGAGGATCATGAGGTCAAAAGATCAAGACCACCCTGGCCAACATAGTGAAACCCTGTCTCTACTAAAAATACGAAAATTAGCAAGGTGTGGTGGCGCACATCTATAATCCCAGCTACTCAGGAGGGAGGCTGAGCCAGGAGAATCGCTTGAACCCAGGAGGTGGAAGTTGCAGTGAGCTGAGTCTGTACCACTGCACTCCAGCTTGGGTGACAAAGCGAGACTCTGTCTCAAAAAAAAAAAAAAACAAACAACAACAACAAAAAAAAACATTTTCTCCCTCTAGGTCTAATCTCCCCCACCAGTATAAACTAATAATGTAAAAAAGGGCAAAAGTACTTAGGTATTAGACACTTTATATATAAATCTACAAAAATAAATAATGTATATGCACACATACACATATGGCTATGTGCTAAGGCATCCAGCAAATCCATATGCCTGGGTAATTTTGGAGGATTTGCAATAGTTATCGACAAGATCTACTTCTTGTTCCGGCAACCATGTGCCACACATGAAGAGTAGTTGACTTAGACTGCTTGAATTCATCTCTGGCCTACCATGTACTCTGTGGAGCATTACAAAATTATTTAACCTTTCTTACATTCACTTTCCTCCCCCGTAGAATTCAGTTCTTTATAAGTCATAACCTTCCTCACTGGATGATTAAGTGATATAACCCACAGAAAACATTTAGCACAGTGGCTAGCATAAAATAAGTCCTCAATAAACTCAGCCAGGACCAAGAAAGAATGCTCTGAATAACTCAAATATGATTACCCCAGCTTCATCTCTCAGTTAAATGTGCTAACTGCTGCAAAATGTCACACCTGAAGTAAAATGAACATCTCTGCTTCTATTTAAAGGAAAGCAAGAAATCAAAAGGGCAGATTTCACAGTGAACACTGCACTAAGGGCAAGTACCAGATTTTTATTAACTCGTGGTAGGGTAACCAAATACATGGCATGCAACTTGTTGGGACTTTGGACTTCCTTTTCTCAGATCACTGTGTCTTCTAGAAGTTGCTTCCCACATGAAAAATGCTAGATGGGAGGAACTCCAAGGGCCCTTTCACATACGATGGGTGTGACATTTATGGAACAAAGAACTTGAAGGTAGTTGTCAAGATTGCAGAGTTTAGAAATTCTTGTCCTGAGCCAACATTTTTATTCTTGTGAATGAATACCCTAGAGGAATCCACAAATTGTGGGACAAACCTAGGTAAAACTGTGAAGCCCATGTTGATCTATTCCACCCCTCCCATCTCACCAACAATGGATAACAGGAAGAAACTGAATTCATCAGCAGTGAGGTGAGAACTACTGCTAAAAGTCTGGAGTGTTACTAAGTATAGCTAAGTTCTCTACATATAAGAAAGCAGAATGAATTGTGTAAATTCACACATTATTCAGAATGGACAAAATTTTCTTAGTACTCATAAGGCCTAAAAGTAAAGATATGTGATTATTTTAATTCTGCATGCACATTAAGAGAATTAATATAAATCTATCACTATTGATAAGAAAAGCATCAAAAATACACTAACTGAATCCCTTCATGTTATATAGTATGGACCTGTGTCTAGTGAGCTTATGTTGCAAGGCTAATAGGTGCCAAAGCCAGGTTTTAGAAATCTCAGCCCATGGTTCTTTCCACTAATACTAAATTTCTTACATTTGTAAGCCCCTTTATCTTTAATCATCCCCCTTTATCATTGCAAATGACTGGGGGAGGCAGGACAGGTGTTGTGAACCTCATGGTTCAGATGAGGAAAGAGACTAAGAGAAGTCACATACCTTCTTCAAGTTTCCACTAGAAGCAGGTGGTGGAGTGGAAACAAAATCAGGTTTCATTCTTCCTGCTTCTGTTTCTCTCTTCGTCATGTACCTAACTGAACCATTTGCTTTGGAATTTTTTTTCATTTAGTCTTCCTCCAAACCCCAAGGAATATGTCACCATCATCCCCTCTAGATGAGAAGCTACTCCAATTGGAAACCAAGGATCACTTCTGGTAGTCTCCGAGCATTCTGACACTGAATGCAAAATGCTGCTGTTATTATTAAGGAAGCTTAGAAAGCACACCTCCACCTCTCTTAATAATCAATCAGCATTTAGTGAATGAGACTATATGCTAGGTACTATGCTAATTACTGAGGATACATGAACATGACGTAGAATCTCTACCTTCAAGATACTTCAGGGAGACTAACAAATACCACCTTATAAGAATTCTCCAGATCACTCTGTGAGAAAGGTCAGAGGCAACCTGCTCCCGGATGGCTTGTTTAGTCTTTTATTCCTATAGCCAGATCAGATGTCCTGTGGCTTTGGCCTATTTGTACAGCCATGGACCCTACCTTCCAAGCAAAGTGAGTAAGATGGACCGGAGATATCTCCATTTCATGTTGGAAAGAAAATTGCTTTTCACAGGGGTGAAGGACCTTGACAAAAGAAGCATAGTTGGTAAAAGGTTGAGTTTTCTTATTCTAGAGCAGTTCCCTTTCCACATGTTTAAGAGATTTATGTCAAGAATCAATAACCTTTTCAAATTACAGGTCCAAGAGTTTGCAAGAATGGTCAGGCAGGCTGACTGCAGGGATAGAAGGTCAACAGGGCTGGGTAATAGAAAATAGAGCCTGAAATGCCTGTTGGGAGTTTTTGGGCTTCAGAGAATCTAGGTTTGGAGGAAAGACGTGGTATGGGTGGGCATAAATAAAAAGAAAAGGTTAAGGACTGTAGGTCAGTCTTTTAACTTACAAGACCATCTTTTTC